AGGAAGGTTGAGAACCACTGTTCTATTGGATCGATTCCTGTGTTGTGTGTTGGTTGGGTCAGAGTAAGTAGAAAATAAATGCTGAGTTTCTGAAATGATCATGCTGAAAAAGAAGGAATCAAAATTTGCTAATTTAAATGTAGTTAATCCAGTGAATTTATTACCAGTGACTAGACCACTTGTGTCAACCAGTGGTTGACAATCTCTGAATCCATGTATCACCCTTTGGGGGAGAAAGGTGCTATTCATATCGAGTGAGGGGAAAGCATTCTGAAATGCACAGGTCAACCCCTTAGCAACAAAGAACTTTCTATCTTAAAATGTCAACCGTGGTAAGGTTGAGAAACTCAGAGTAAATAAATATGATGGCTATGTTTGCATTTTTATTCCTGTCATTTTTGTGGAACTTGATTGTGGTAACCTTTTAATGACTTTCTAAAAATAATCTCTTGAGTTTTACACGTCACTGACATAGATTTCTCTCTGTACTTCAAGGAGTCAAACCTATCACTTCACTCCTTAAAGGATGGAGGTCGTCTAAGATTTCTCTGGTTACTAAATTAGTTTCATGCAAATATACTCAAATATAATTGGATATTATTTAGAGATCGTATTTAGAGATTAAGTGGACAAGAAGATCAAATACATAGATACAAAACCCTCGTCCAAAAAAATCCCACCCACACTATTGTACAATGAGCTATTTTATTCTCAAGTGCTAGGTTTCTTGGTAATATTTTCATGTTATATAAAAATATAATGGTTATCTGTGATATCTTGCAGCAGCCCGTTCATTGAAAAGTCTGAATTTAACCCATGGCTCCTGCCCCAAACAAAGCAGAACAAAAAATTATAAACATATAAGACTTGTTGATCTGATAGAGACTAGTGGAATCCATGAAACTGGTCTGTAGACACCACTTAGCTGATCCCCTCTAGGGTCAGCTTTTAACTCAATAAACTGAAAGACTCACTACCATGGAGCCCTACTGCCTTCTAGCGATGCGTCAGGGGTTTCAGAGCCTGTAACCTTAAGAGAGTGGAACACCCAGCGGAGCTCCTGGTGGTTTCAAACTGCCCACCATGCAGAGCAAAGCCCAGCACGGAACCACTATACCACCAGGGATCTTGTAATGCAAAGAATAGACAGGGCTATCAAGTGAGAACTATCTCTAGTGGAGGAATGTACTCTGAACAGTCAACCATATGAGCCCAAGGGCGCTATTTGCTCCAAAACAAGCCTCAGCTTGAAGGTAATTAAGTGGCCATCAAGCTCAGAAGCAACAAAGCCCACATGAAAGAAGCACACCAGCCTATGCAACCATGAGGTGTCAAAGGGATCAGGTATAAGGCATCATCAGAACAAAAAAATCTTACCATAGTGAATGATGGGGGGAGTGCAGAGTGGAGATCCAAAGCCCATTAGTAGGCCACTGGAGATCCCCTTGCAGAGGGGTCTCGGGGAGGAGATGAGCCAGTCAGGGTGAGATGTAACAACGATGAGAAATACAACTTTCCTCTAGTTCCTAAATGTTTCCTTCCCGCTCCCACTACCATGACTTGAATTCGACCTTGCAAGTCTGGCTAGACCAGAGGAGGTACACTGGTACAGATAGGAACTGAAAATACAGGGAATCCAGGGCAGATGAGCCCTACAGGACGAGTGGTGTGAGTGGCAAAACAGGGAGGGTAAAGGGAGAATGGGTAGGAAAGAGGGAACCGATTACAAGGAACTATATGTGACTTGGGGGACAACTGAAAAGTGGGTGAAGGGAGACGTCGGACAGGGCAGGATATGACAAAATACCAATTTATAAACTATCAAGGGCTCATGGGGTGGAGAGCGGGGAGGGAGGGGAAAAATGAGGACCTAATGTCGGGGGTTTAAGTGGAGAGAAAATGTTTTGAGGATGATGTACAAATGCGCTTTACACAATTGATGTGTGTATGGATTGCAATAACAGTTATATGAGCCCCTAATAAAATGTTTTAAAAAAAAAAAAAAAACAAGCCTCAGAAGGTAAGAAAAATCAAGGAAGAAACTCAAACGGAAGCAAGGAGCTCAGAAGATGGCTGTTTCGTTGAATGCATGGCAATGGAGGCTGTAAAACATAATGTGTATAAAATGGAAGAAGAACTGATTTTCTCTGGAAACGTTCACACAAATCATCATACAATAGGAGACCAACAGATTTTTTAATGGCAGTTAAGTGTATACTTCTTTTGAGATTTCCTATTATTGTCACCTTTAGAGTTCATGCAAAACATGAGGGGGATTCAAAACATTCATGGGAAAATCCCATTGTCTTTTAGTTTCAGTTTCCCACCAGCTTTTGGAAGCCCTCTTAAACATAAGGAATAGGGAAGTCTTTAACCCTCTTTATACACTTATTTTGAAGAGTTTAATATTTAATATATACATTTTTTGCACAATATGGAAAATTTTCATATTAAAAAAATAAGACTCTTAGATTTTTAACTGCTGTTGAAATTAAGTGTGGACACTCACATGCTACAAGTAATAAAATCCTTAAAAATGGATTTTTTTTAAAAGGCTGATAAAAAAGAGTCCTACATTTTTTGAAGTATTTCTACTTGCATGGCTTTTGTATCTCTTATCACAATATTCTTGCCAACTGACAGAAATGATAATCATATGCACAAATCAATGATCGTGACTTGATGGTGGACTATTCATGCCGCTTTTGATCCTGGGCCAACAGGTTCGGCCTGGTTGTATCGGCTCTAAGTCATGCAGGTAGTGATGTGGAAAGACCCTGGGAAAAACTGGAAGCCTACAAGTTTCCGGATGTTGCACTAACTCTTTGGATAACAACCATGATTGTCAAAATTTTACGTAAGTCCTAAGATGGTTGTTCTACCACTTTGGGTTGGCCGTAATGGAGTAGCCAAGGGAGAAGATCGGCTGCCATTTTTCTGGTAATCCGAGTGCTGCCGCTCCTTTTATACTGACTGGAAATAGTCTCATCGTAATCCTTAGAAATCAGTTGCAGTAATCCCTTCAGTTCACCTGGAATTTATCATATTCATCTCAAATTCATTTTTATTTCTAGTTCCTCAATTGCCTTTATATGTGTAATGATTTAATGATAGAGTAGGTATTGGCTGGAAATTCAACAAAATGCCACCTTGTCAGAATTTCATGCTGAATATAATCTTATATGAACGTAAAATTAAATTACTTCAAGGAAGAAACTGTGTCACAGTATTCCGTTATTTCTGGAACATTTTTCTTATTCAAAGGACAAAGGAAGCTATTAAAGTTCTGGGAATTCTGGTTCTGTAGCAGAGTATACATTTTTCAACAGAAAGTCTCATATTCGTACCAAGAACCACAAATAGTAAACATTGTGACAACTATAAGTTTTTGTAGGTGAATTCTAAAGTCAAGGCCACATATGGCTTTTCTTTCAGACTGTGTAACTGAGTACATATTGTTTCTGCGCGTTCCTAGTTTCTGATCTCAAAATATCAAAGTTCTGTGATCTTTATTTAGGCAGAACAGGTACAGTGCCATTCATAAATTATGTCATTGTGTAGTTGTCCATTCATAGAGAGCCAAAATGAGAGTAGAGGAGACCAGGTAATGGATCCAATGGAAAGAAAGTCGTATGGTTTCACTTTATCATTGGTTTATCATTCACTTTATCATATGGTTTCACTAAAATACATTTTCAATCAGAAAGGGGACATCGTTGCTAGATTAGTTCACTCTCACAGTCAATTCAGTTGTTCACTAGTGAACTCATTTTCAACTCTACTCCTTGCGAAAATCTAATTCCTTTTATAAGATCCCATTTTTCAGAACCATCTTTTCTAATTTGTTTGTTTCTTTGTTTTCTTAACTATCTAAAAGAGCTTCTTTGAATAAAATTCTCGTGAATTTACCCCTTTTCGTCATATCTTGGTAATTGTAATGATTTCCTTGCTAACCCTTCTTTTCTCATCTTCCCAGATTCATATATCCCAGTACCAAATTTTTCTTCCTAAAATACCCTAATTATAATTTCAAGACCCTGGTGTAGAATTTTATTATGTTGCTCTATAGATTGGCCTAGACTCTTGAATCTTATATGAGAGGCCTTTTCACAAGGGGGCTCTACAGTTGTACTCCAATCTCTCTTGTACAAATGGTGGGGCATCGAGTATTCATTTTCTGCTTTATTACTGACATTCTCAGAAACTCACAAAGACAGTGTTACCCTGTCCTATAGGATTACTATGAGTCTGCTCAACTCAATGACAGTGAGTTTGGTTTTGAGTTTATTGTATGACTTTGTTATCACTGTTTTACACTCTTGGTTTATTTCTGGATTCCTCTTGGCAATCTTCCTTTTCCTCTTCTGGGCTTACTTAGAATTCTAGAACAGTTTAAGCTTTTCCCAGATTACTGTATCAACAATGCTTCACATACATGTAACCCTTTAATTTTCAGAAACGTTTAACATACATTCCCATTTATTTTTCCTACTTTGGCATGTAATAGAGATAAGGTAGATATTGTTGTCATTGCCTGTTAACTGGATAAGAAATTTTTACTATGAAATTCAGTGACTTGCTAAAGGCCACACTTCAGCTCAACAATTTACTGCCATTGAGTCACAACTCACGATGACCCTATTGGGGAGAGTAGCATTGTCATTGTGGGTTTCTGAGACTGTGAATTTTTATATAAGTAGAAAACCTCATCTTTCTTCCATGGAGTGACCAGTAAGTTTGAACTGCCAACCTTGGGATTAGCAACCCAATGCTTATGCGACACACCACGTGAGATCATTCAGTGTGCTGTCCTCATGGTGTAATGGTCTACGATTTGAGCTATTAACTACAAGGTCACTGGTCTGAACCCAAAAGGGGAGGCTGTCTGCTCCCATAAAGATTTAAAATCTAAGAAACTCTACTTGGTCCTTTAGGGTCTCTATGCGTTGAGTTGAGTTGATTCTGAGTCGAACATGCGTTCTTGCCTCTGAAATACTTTAGTTTTTATGACCCTGCTAGTAAAATTTAATTTGTGTCGAGTATTCCTTGAATTTCTTTCCGGTTAGTATGTCTCCCTTTCCCCATTGACAACCTATCTAGAAGAGGATGCAGCATAAACTTTTCTTTATTTCCCATAAGTATGGACACATTCCCCTCCTAAATGCTCTTTGGGACTAATCTATTTATAGTAGAAAGCAAATAGATGTGTAACTTACTGGATATGTAAAGGTGAGTGTGATGTTTAAGGAGCCCTGGTGATGTAGTGGGTTCAGTATTGGACTATTGAACACAAGGTGGGCAGTTTAAACCCAGCGGGTGCTCGGCAGGAGAAAGATGAGGCTGTCTGAGCCCATAAAGATTGACAGCCTAGGAAGCCCTCTCACTGTGACTCTGTAGCAGTCAGTTTGGTTTGGATGCCATTTATGTCCATTTATTATCCATCTACTATCCTTGATGGATAATAAATACAAGTGGGAAGCAGACTGTCTGGAAATATTTGATATTTCTCTGTTCTCAAGGGGAGTAGCTTGACTTCTGGATTAGAAAGAAGCTCTATACATTTATTTTTAATGATGGATAAATGAGCTTGAAAGTTCATTAATAAAGACCATAATAGTTGTAAGAGTTTAGATCAAGCAGACTAGAGTATTTAAGAATAACTTTCAAAGTTGACAGGATCTGAATTGTGTTTCATAGACTCATATGATTCTGGACTGGATGGTAATTTAGTATCTTGAACAGTGGGTAAATTTTATATAGGCAGATAGGCTATAAGAGCGTTTCAAGTGAATAGAATTGTCACTATAATATCATTGTACATTTTTCTAAAAGTTAAAATGTGATGTTTGTGGCAGAAAAAGATGAATAAGTAATGGTTGCCTTTTCTGTTTTGCAGAGGTAAAGTGTAGGATACTCTGGGCTCTTCTTGAATATTCAGGTAACAATTTATATTATTTCCACCATTTAAATTGATTGTGGCTTATGACCTTGGAATCTCATATCATGAAAGGAAATAAGTTCAACAGTTTACAAATATAGATAGAGATTTGCACTTTACCTTTTTGAACTGCTCAGAAAAATTCAAAAATTATGTATAGTGTTAATAAACACACAAGAATATATATCCGTCTTTGATTTTAGGCAAAATCATGAAATCATATAAATATATAGTTTGAGTATAATTTAAAAGGAGAAGGGAAGCAGGGTTTGATAAAATTAATGGAGTAGATGGGATTTATTGTGAATCTGTATATAGCTCAAGTATGAACAGAATATGGATAGTCATTCTAAATATCCTACTTTTATTTAAGCACTACCAACTTGCTCAGAGGAGCTCTGGTGGTACTGTCGGGTAAGTATTGGGCTGATAACTGCAAGGTTCAAGGCTCGAACTCACGAGCCAGTCAATAGGAAAATGATAGACTATCTGCTTCCTTAAATATCTCCAGCCTTGGGAACTCCCTACAGGGTCACTGTGAGTTGAAATCCACTTGAGGGCAGTGGGTGGGGGTGGATTATTCACATATGGAAGTGTGGCAGTGCAATCATGGAACGTGCTTGTCTGCTACTCATAAGGTCAGTGGTTCCAACCCACCAGCAACTGTGGGATATGGTGATCCATTCCCATTTCATTACCACCTAGAAAACCGGATGGGGTGGGTGAATTCCATCACTTACGTAGTGGTATCAGTTCTTGGGATCATCTCAATGACACGCAGCAGTAACAGCATTGTGGACGTAGTGGGAGCTCAAAATATGTTGCTAGTGAAAAGTAATGTTAAGGGCTGACTCAATGTCTGATTAGCCCCTGAACTACCGATGCGAGACTGTTAGATTCATCAAGCCAGGAGCAGTATTTTGGCCATCTACAAATGCCTAAGATACTAACTTACATATCAATGTTACACAAATATTTATTGCAAAAATGAATGAAGAAATAAACTCAGCAGTAATTTACAATGATATGGATCCTAAAGATGGGGAGTGTTCAGTGAGCATGACAGAGTTTAATGTTAGCTTGTTTCAGCTGTATTTCTCTATACATAGAGCTATGTAGATGTGTTGAGTGGCTTTAAAAAATCATTTTAATAGGTTAAAAATTATCTGAAGACATATATAAGTAAATATTATCATAATACCGTTAGATTTTGATGTAAATTTATACCTAAAATATAAGTGCATGCATTTGATAAATATAATAAGAGCTAGTCATATATATATATATATATATATATATATATGTAAATCCAGAGCTTTGTGGATTAAAAGAACAGCTCGATATACCTGAGCCCAGTGCCAGCTGGTCATTCTGCTGATCTCTGCCAGGATTTGCTGATCTTGGGTGGGTTTGTTCAGGTGCAGGAAGTTAGACTGTTAGGGGACTGACACTCATGGCACAGGGTAGCCTCACTCACGTAAACAGCTGATGGCTTGATAGGGTTGACTGAGCCACATGTTTTTCATCATCCACCAGACTAGCCATGTGGCCTCTGGAAACAAGCAACAAGGGACAGTCACAGAAGAGTTTGCCCCTGTTGTTGGCCAAGGCATGTCATAACCAGCTTTGCTGCAGTGGTGGAGAAATAAACTCTGCTTCTGATGGAAAGAGCCTCAAAATCCTTTTCATGGCAGAGACAGAGGGACATGGACGGGTAGACTGTAAGGCCACTTTTACTTGGAAAATTGCAAATGTAAAGAGATGAACGAATCAAGTTAAACGGGAGTATTTTTTGTTTCTTTTTTTCTGCCTTAAAGAGGTTGTTGATTTGCTGTTTAGGCCATTGTAATAACAGCCATCTTACACATGTGAGCTAGCCTCATTTTATGGACTTCATGGTCCTGACAGCACCTCAGTGAAAATGAAGTTTGTATTATTTAAACTTACAAAAATTGCAATGCAGGGAAATTACTTGTAAAAGGTAATACTCAACAATATTTTTGAGCATCTGGAATACTAGGTACCAAATATACTCATGTATAAGCCAAGTTTTCCAGCACACTTTTTATGGTAAAATTACGTGCCTTGGCTGCTATTCGGGTCAGCTTATACTTGAGGATATACAGTATCTGATAGTTGATTTATCAACTAAACAAAATTGAAACTTAGTTCTACCAAATCTAAACATTGCCCTGGAATGCGCACCTTTGCTTGCTAGTGTTCAAATGGCTTTTCTGAATGATCATTATTTTGATTTAAGTTTAGTTTTTTATTCTTTTCATGCTCCTTAGTTGTCATCTATTATTTTCCTACCCCTCCATTTTTACATATATTGAATGGTACCGGAACACTAACCAATATGAGTCCATGTTTTTACTCTGAAATTGGTCTTTCCTTTAAAAGAATAGACAAGATCTGCTCAATATTGTTCTTGATGTCCTTCCATTCCCACCTTGCTGTTCCCCTAACCTCCTCTTTCTGTTTGCTTTCCCCTACAATTTCAGTAAAAGGATAAGTGGTTGGGGTTCCTGGTGTGTCTCAAAACCCATCTTATTCTGGTTAGGCCAGCCAGCTAACTCTGGAATTTGAACTTTTTAAACTGCCAGGAACTAACGAGGTGTTAGCATTTTCCAACATGTCTGTGGATGAAAATTTTCAGTAGGTGCTTTGAATATGGAAGTGAAAGAAGCCTTTCATAGGTACGGAAACCACTTGGTTCCTACTGCAATCCCACCACAAGGAAAGTCTCCCTCTGCAAAAATAACAAACAACCTGTCCCAATAAAACCGAGCTCTTGCCTTTTCTTTGGCTAGAAGGTGGAAGCAGCTGTTCTTCTTGCTGTAGTTCTTCTTGATAAAGATTGGGCTTGGGGGTAGCAGTGGGAAAGGATGGGCCATAAGTGGATGTTGAGCAGCCGCAGGATGGCCAGGACAAGACTGGTGATTTGCTGTGAGTTAGCCAACCTTTCATTCTCTATGTCACATCTGCAGTCCCCGTTCAGCACCTACTTGGTGCCAAGTTCTGTGCCGGATGCTAGTGCGACAAAAGGATAGAAAAAGTTCAAAAAATAAAAGTTCACTATTTCACATCAAAAGCTACTTGAACTCCCTTCTGAACCATTTGTGCTTGATCTGTTTTTTAATATTTTCTGTTTTTTTTTAATTGGGATTTGTCTCTGTTGTATGTTGTCATTGTTGGTAGACTTATTGACCCCCCTGTTATGTGTTTTCCTGTGTTTTTTTCAGTATATGAAGCCCAGGTGAGGCGAAGCTAGAGTGACAATAACTAGAATCAGGGTTCCTGGGGGGCCAAGCGGGGCAGCTAGGAGGGTAAAGGGGATCTGATATCAAGGAGTTCATGAAGGAAGAAAATGTTTTGAAACTGTGATTGTACAAAACTGCTTGATGTGGTTGAACTACGGATGAGATGATGTCTGGATTAGCTCCTAATAAAATGGTTTTGTGGAAATTTACATTACATTAAAATATTTTTTAAATTACTTGAAGAGACCTTAATATACAATGTGCACTTTATGGACATTTGAAGTCTATCGAACCAGGTTCTGTCTTCCTACTGAAGGTAGAAAGGTGTAATAAATAAATCACCTCATGAAGTAATAAGCATTTACTATGTGTCTTTTCGTTATGCACTGGACTGATAAACAGCTGCTCTGCAGGAGAATATATGGCTTTCTAATTGCACAAAGAGTTACTTTCTCAGAAACTCAAGGGACAGTCAATACAATTTGGCATCAGCTCTCTGGCAATGAGTCTGGTTTAGTTTGCCGGTCCAACAGCATCTGGATACCTATTTTTGGTCACTCTACTGTGACCATGCACATGTCTAAGCTCTGTCCTGGCCCTAGTAATAAAGACAATGTACAATTCCTATAGGACTTTCATTGTTAAATAGATGGATACATAGATTGATGAATGGAGGAATGTTCTTTCTGTGAAGCCGATAGAGCTATAAACAGGTTTTAGGTATTGGAAAGACTTGGGATGTTAAATATAACCATTTCTTATTTGATAATGAAGTTGAAAGAAATTTTTAATTTGGGTTAAAAAGCAGCAGGATAGAATCAGCATCTCATGTATTCCTTTCAGAGCAAAATGGAATTTGGGAATTTCTTCTCAAAAGCAACTTAGAGAACACTGTTTGTACTAATGGCAAAGTTATTAACTCTTGTGACCTTTATTAAAGCTTGCAATGGAGTACGAATCCTTTCCTACATTTTTGCTTCCTACTTATTTTCTGCAGTGTTTTTTAATAGACTTTGAATAATAAACTATATTAAGAT